GATACATCGAGATCGAATGAAATTTTTTCTTTGGGCATTCTAAGGATATGTCCGAGCCAGCTCCATCTTCGTTTTTTAATTTCATCTTCGATTGTTTTTATTTTAGCTTTCTTTAATAGATTTTGATTTGATACTTTGCAAGGCCAGAAAATTTTAAAAATAAATCTTAAACATTTGTTTTGAAATATTTCTAATATTTGTATTTCGATCTTAGTCTGTTTCCAGGTTTCTGCGCCATATAATAGTACTGCTCTAACAATAGCTTTGTGAACAGCTATTTTGGTCTTTATTTCAATATTTGAATTATTTTTAACGAAGATATAAATAAACTGATGTTTTTTTCAGATTATTTTTAAAATAATCTGAATTTGAAAGTTCAAATTGTAAACTGAAAAATATTAGAAAGTTCATAAACTTTTTAATTATCCAAGTAATTTAATGTAATCTGACTTTCAGAATTTTCTAAACTTTCGTAACTTATTAAAATTACCATTTTCTTTCACTAAATTAACTTGATATTTAGGCAAAACGCATCGCTTCTCTGATTTGAAATACAAAATTACAAAATTTGTTTAAGCAATATCTAACCTAAAAAGATTTGTAAAACGAGATTCTTTCTCAGATTCTTCCCATATATACGATTACGTTTGTAAACTGTTACTAAATTTTATAATTTCTTAAACTAGATAAGTTCATTTTTAAGAAAAATTCATTGTTTTTTTTAAATTTAAACTCTATAATATAAATTATTAACATACAAAGCTGGTTGGATATTTTATATAAAGCAGGATTTTTTTCAGATCTTTTTCATGGATTATACGATTATTGTTATAAAATGTTACTAAGCTTTATAATTTTTTTTAACTAATTAAATTTTATATTCAGGATTAAAGCACAGGATCTCTAATTTACCAGCCTAAATAGGGCATCTTAATACGCAAATATCTATTTGAAGATTTTATGAACCGTAGGATTCTTTCTCAGATTCTCTGAAAGGAATACACAATACTTTTATTCATTAATATTTTGAACTAAATATTATACTAAGCTAATAAACTTTATCCTCATTTAATTTGTTTGAGAAAAATGCATATTTTCTCAAATTTAATCTCCATAACATAAAATACCAAAACCACTTAATTATCAATTTTTTTGGTTCTATATTGTAGATTTCAACTTGAAATTTATAATATTGAACCACTAACATAAGACATAATGTTCAAACATAATCTAGCTTGTCGTCTCTAATATGAAGTACCAATTTTAAAAATTAGCTCTAATGAAAAGATAACTCAAAAAATATATCATTTTAAACCTCTAATAAAAAAAAATCTCGGAATCAGAAACATAAATTTTAAATTCGGATAAGAGTGAATCTGTTATCATATTTAAAATTCGTCATTGATATGCTTGGAAAAAGAACGCACAGTTGTAAAATTTTACAGTGCGGATTCAAGTATAATAATGAAAAAAAATTATTTTCTTCAAATGCATATTTTCTTTACTAAACCTAAACATAACACATTAATAATTAAATAGTCATTTTAGAGTAGCATTTCATACGTTAATATATAGACCAATGGTATTGACCAGAAAAATACTTAACAATTTCAAGACGCAAACTGTTTTTCCAAAGAAAAGACAAAAAAAAACGAAGAGTTAATAGAAATGCAAAGTATGAAGAAAATCCAAAATTTCTAGCAATTTCTTTAAATTTCAATTTTCAAGAAACTCCAAAGAAAGTATCGAATATATTTACTAAAGATTTTGCTGGAAAAAAATTAATTCAATACCAATAAAAAGAGACTTGATTATTAAATTGGAAAAAGCTAATTTGGTAGCTGACTGAAAAAAAATGCTTCAAATAAATTTATTGAAATATATTATTTAAAAACAACTAATGTCAAATGTGTATCTATAACTGAATGAAATTATTTTAAAGCTCTTTATGACTTATTTATTTATTAGTTTAGTTTTATTGTTTTTATAAAAGAACAGTTGATTTGTATATAGAGGTGAAAGAAATAAGACATATTACGACAATAAAGTATAGATATAGGAATAGGTATATATACAGCATATAGAAACATGAATGGCTATAGATATGAAATATTCACAAAGAAAATAAGGTACGTTTATTCGTTTTTCTCAAAAATGAAAAGTATTTTTTTTTTACTCTTAAGAAAGTGAGAATTAAAAACCTCAAAGCTATTACCGTGAAATCTTAAGGTGTTTGCTGACTATTACCTTCTCATTTCCTCCTGCAATTCGCAATATTTGGTAGCTTCTATCACGTTTTCCTCAATAGTGCTTCGTCAGATTTTGATGATATTTCTCATAAGCTGTGCATTGATTTGTAAATTCTAAGTTTTATAAAATTTACAAATTATTAAAATTGAGGCATCCAGTATTAATACTTGTTTTTCCTAATTTAAAGTATAAATATATGCATATAAAGAGCAGTGATTTTTGAGTACTTTGTTTTCCCTTTGATTGAGCAGAGAAAATATAATTGTTATTGCTGGGAAAAAAAATTATAATTCCAAATGATGCTTCTAGCTAATTTGTTCTTTTATTTGAACTGTAATATCATAGGTTCTGAAAATTGAAACGCTACTTGAAATCAATTTATACAAAAATTATAACTACTAAATGTATTATTAAGTAAAATGTTTTACAAACCATTTGGTCCACATTCTTCAGGTAAAACACATCGTCCATCTTTTGTTTTAACGTATCCCTCTTCTTCATCACAATGGCAGCCAGGTACACATATTCGAATGCAAAAGGTTGGAGGGTCTTTGTAGTTCTCACACGTAATTGGACAAGCACTTCCACAGTCGTTATAGTGAGAATTTGAGGGACACTCTTAATTAAAGAAGGAAAAAAAAAATAGTTTAAGACTTTTTTAAAACACTCAATCTAACACAATAATCAAATAGAAGCGGTTTGTTTTATTTCATAAGCACTTAAGAGATTGCTTATTTTTCTGACAAAGAGAGATGGAGAGTATAAGCAACGCTTATGCAATGGCCTAAAATTCAGACATTTTCAATAATTTTGTAGAAATTATCACATTTTGAAAGAAAAAAAACTCCTTGTAATTATATGGAGATTTCGATTTGACAGTTTTGGACAGCGTCCAAAATCATAGAAATTTGTTTACAAAATATTTATCGAGTGACCTTATATCTATTCTAATTTATGCAACTATACAACAAATTTATACAATGATTGTGTTAGTTTGCTTACTTGATATTATAATGATCTAATATTCATTGGAAGAAATCGACAGTCATAGACATAGATCAAAAGTCTGGTTTTAAAAAAATGCATAATTAAAATTTATTTGATGTGCTTCGACTAATTATTTCATTTCATTCCAGAGGGTACGCACAAACACCAGGATTAGTAAAATTATTTTTTCCCTCACAATTTGTTCATTTAAATTTAAAAGGTATTTATTTGAAAAATCCGGAAATGTTTTAAAACGGATTTCGTTTCACAAATTTTGCTCGTTTTTATGTGGGATGAAATTCAACCATTTTAATTTTGCTCCGATACAGCTCAAACTTCATCCTCGATTTCGTTTCTAAAAATCATATTTATAAATATACATTGCCGAAAAAATCGTTTGTTAACTAGCTCAGAAAGTTTTCGAATTTTTCCAACAGTACAAGTTCTGTAAAAATTATCGTACATTTCTAGTAACGTTTCTAGTTAAAAAACAAATAAATAAAATAAAAGATAAAAAAACTGGTAATAGAACCAAAATATGAAGTATTTAAATCACACATTTGGTATTTTTTCAGTTCATATCACAACGGTTTGCAGGACATTCTGATTCTCAAAATTATAGTTCTAATTACCACACATTTTGAAAAAATACATAACTAAGAAATAAATTTGACAGAGGAAATTGATTTTGTGCCATGCTTTAAGGTATCATAATAAAATTAACGAAGTTTATCACATTTCCTAAAACCATATTTTAATATTAATTTCACCAAAATCATTGCCAAAGCCCATCAGTGAAAATTACTGAGCTTTTTGGAATTCCAATTGAGCCAGAAATGCTGTAAATTTTACCACATACTGACAATGCTGCATTCATTGCTTTAATTGGATCTGTTAATTGGACATTCTTTAACTCAATGCTTGCAGTAAAAATAATATTGCTTACATTATGTTTCGCAATTGGAAAACGGTTAATGAGTTGGGATACCGTTATAAGTGCATTTATCACAAAATGTTGCTTAATAAGGCATTATTAGATAACGGTAAAACCCTAGAAATAGGAAAATATCTATCATTTACACCATCAGTTAAAAAATAGAGTTTCCGAAATATATAATTATTTTTTCAGCTTAATTATTTTTTATGCTTTTAAATCTATATTTGTTTAATCAAATATGCAAATTAACTTACCATCAGCGAACGCCCCAATAACTAAACCTAGCAGGATGAGCATATACATTTTTTTGCCTCGTTCCTTAATCAGAGTACGGAAATGATTAAATCACAGCATTTCTCTTTATATATTAGCAGAGCAACATATGTGTGTAACCACATTATCTTCTTGTTCCTGAAAATTATCTACATGATGAGAAAATCAGCATATTGTGTACAAGCAGAACTTAGAATTTAATGATAAAATGTTTCATCATTCAAAATGTAATGTATCGTTTAGAGATCCTAATGAGACATGAAGAAAAAAAATATTATTTTCATGAAAATAGTGACTTTTACAATAGTAAAAATGTAAAGCTTAATACTGTCTCTTATTTTTATTGTCTTCTGCCATTTTACCCTTTTTTAATGATGATCCACTATCAAAAAGAAAAATAGTCTTTTAGTAAATTTCGTTTTTTTTACATCTCTAGACAAGTGAAAGAATGACTCCTTTTTTCTAAATTTAATTATTTTTGTATTTTTATTTTTTTTTTAATTAAATATCTAAAAAATACTGCACATTATACGAAATACATTTTTCATTCGAGTACACAAAAAGCACGAAACAAAAATAGTTCAAAATATACAAAACCAAAGTTTTGTAGAAAAATAATCAATGCTGAGCTACATTTACGTGTAATAATATGAATCATTAATAGCATCAGTTCTTCAAACTATAAATAAATATTTCTCTTGATGTATCAAAAGCAAAGTGTTAAAAAGAATATGCATAAATATTATATAACATCCTATTAACCTTAAAAAAAACTCTCAGGAATTTCAAACAATTTCCTATTGACCAAGATTTATTTAAATGAGACCTTTGTTTACTTCACTAATAAAGTTCATTATTTTCAATTACTTTGAAACTAAATTACTAAGCATGCAGTTATTGTAAAACGGTGTTAAATGTAATATATGTATTTAATTTAGAGAAATAATTAATTTTATTCACATTTTTTTATCGGTTTAAATTCAGAATTTTTTTTTCTTAAAATGTTTCTTATAAAGGTGCAGAAAAATTAGCGTTCATTTCATTCTTACATGCGGTGTTTAGAATTTACTCCACTTTTCTAAAGATTTTATTTTTTTAATTCGGCCTTTTTTCTATACTGAAAATATCTAAAAACCAAACTTTTCTTTTATTTCGTTGTATATGTATGAAATTAAGCTTTGATTCAGTGGCGTCCATAGAGATGAAAAAGAGTTACAGTCTCCTTAAATAACATAAGAGGCATCTAATCAACGAGTAAGAATACGGAATCTTAAAATTGATTACTATTTTTATAATAATTTTACATTTTTAAGAAGTAAATATTTACTCTAAAATAATTATTTTTAAAAAATTATCATATCACTTTTGTGCATGATACATAAACCCTTCTACGAACCCCTTCTTAAACATATATTTAAGTTTTTTTCATTATTTTGTATTAGTGTAGATCAAAGTAAGAGAAAAATATCAAATTTAATTTTTTAAAAATATTTGGTTGTGAAATACAGCACTGGACACCCATCTCCCTTTTTGCGTTAAAGGCAAAAATTTCGAATTCTCAATTTTCTTATTATTTAGATATAAGATAAACAGAAATTAATCATTGAAATTTCTTTAATTTGCAAAATCAATAACTGATAGATTTATAATTATAAATGAAACAAATTCTAGCAACTCTCTTATATTTTAGAAGAAATATAATTTAACAGATTCGAATTTACCAAATTTTTTTAGTGACTAGTTGATTGTTTTTCATAATTAAAATATACCAAAATGTATTTTTGTATATACATGTGAATATTATTATGTAAATTTGAGTAAATATTATGTATGTATTAGAGTGCTGAAAAATATACCTACGATACACCGGTGACCCATCTGTAAATGTAACCAAAATGTAAATTATTGACATTTAAAATGAAGGCATACTAAAATAAGTATGAAAACTTTTGACTAGAGGAACTTCAGCTAAGGCATATTCAATGTGATTTCAATTGTTCTTTGAATATCCAATGCTTCTTAATTTTGAAGAGCTCGTTTAAGCAATAAATGACATTCTGTTATTAGTTACAATGTAAAAAATGGCACTGTAAAAAAAATTTGTTACCCTGGGAAAAGTCTATAAAACTATAGTTGCACTGTAAAAAAATATTCAAATTACACTGTAGAAAATAATGAGTTCAGGCACTCAAAGTGCTGATACTTTATACAGTAAAATTCATTTTAACCAGAACAAAAAATCTGTGATACTGAAATTTTTCCAAAATAATGATAGTAAAATCACCGGATCATTAGAATTGAATAAATATTACGGTAAAATGTCGAACTGTAAAAAATGGATAATGCATCAAAATAGAATGTGCGATTTACGGGAAATACCGATACTTTTTATAGTAATTTGATCCGAAATTTTTTACAGTGTACGCTTTTAAATAAACGTATTACAAGAAAAAATACAGCAATAATTTTTAACAGTACTATTTGAAAACTAAAATAAAAATAGTCTAAGGGAGTACGACGCTCTAAGATCTAAACTTTTTATTACTTGACAGATTTGAGAATTTTGCAACAGAAGTTAAACCACACCATTTCTAAAAATGTATTTCAAATCAAATAAGAAACTTTTCCAAGTTCCTTTTATTTAAAAGAATGAAGAATAAATTAAATTATAAAATATGAAATTAATAAAAAATAAAGAATTTTCCAGTATCTATGTATATCCTAACGAAGAAAAAATATATTGTGCTCTATGTATGAAAATTAAGCTAGACATTGTGAATAAAACGCAAATGCAACCAAAAAAGTAGACATACTATAGTTTTATATCTTTAATCAAGAGCATTAAGAAGTTAAAAGAACTTCAATTTCCAGGGATTTTATTCTTTATCCCATTATAAAATCTTCTAAAAGATAGAAATAAAAATTAAAAAAAAGTATTTAAATATTCAAGCGATGAGTAACCAATTTGTAAGTCTTTTTACAACCGTATTATTTGAAAATTAAAAAAAAAAACTTTTCGGTATGTGTATAAAGAGCAATGNATTCACTGGTATATAAGACATGCTAACTTGATTCAATCAAGAGGTACCTTTTGATAGATGAAGGTTGGCATTGTCGATAACTCCTCCCCCACATTGGTGACCCGGACGTGATTTCTACACGCAGTAACGCCCACTTCGCAAAATAACTTGAGAGTAACGCCTACTTCGATGGATAGACCACATTAAACAGTTGACTTGCTATTTGTGAATGCGACATTATCCAATTTTTCTCAAGCTGTTGCTACTCAGTCTCGTCTCGATTAAACACAACGACTGCCTGCATACACTCGACTGCTAATGGCAACACAGGAGCGAATATGATTGTGAAGTTAATGCACCTCTCACATTCAGCACTCAAAAACTCGGTGACTCTCTCTCCCGGTCTATCACAAGTACAGCAACTAGTGAGATCCGTTCATCGAATTCTATCCCTGATAAAATTCTGGTGGGGGAGTATTGTGGCGTAACTACCACTGCGATTATTAAACATCAATTCACTAGTATATAAGACATGCTAACTTGATTCAATCAAGAGGTACCTTTTGATAGATGAAGGTTGGCACAGTCGATAACCCCGCCACCACAAGCTCATAAAATTTTAGATTTTTCCCGGAAAGACAAGTTCTGTAAAAATTACCGTAGTATGGTAGTAACATTTCCAGTTAAAAAACAAATAAATAAAATAAAATAAAATAAAGAATAAAAAACTGGTTATAAAACCAAAATATGAAGTATTTAAATCACACGCTTGGTAATTTTTCAGTTCATATGACATCGGTTTGCCGGACATTCTGATTTTCAAAGTTAAAGTTCTAATTCCCACACGTTTTTAAAAAAAAACATAACTAAAAAGTAAATTTAACAGAAGAAATTGATTTTGTGCCAGGTTTTAAGGTATCATAATAAAATTAGCGAAGTTTATCAAAGATTCTAAAACCATATTTTAATATTAATTTCACCAAAATCATTGCCAAAGTGCTTCAGTGAAAATTACTGAGCTTTATGGCATACCAATAGAGCCAGAAACGATGTAAATTGTACCATATTCTAACAATGCTGTATTCATTGCTTTAATTGGGTATGTAAATTGAACACTCTTTAACTCAATGCTTACAATAAAAATAATATTACTTACATAATGTTTTGCAATTGGAAAACGGTTAATGAGTTTGGATACCGCTATAAGTGTGTTTATCACAAAATGTTGCTTAATAAGGTTATATAAGATAACGGTAAATCCCTAGAAATAGGAAAATAACTATCATTTACACAATCAGTTAAAAAATAGAGTTGCAGAAAGATATAATTATTTTTTCAGCTTAAGTATTTCTTATGCTTCTAAATCCATATTTGGTTAATCAAATATGCAAATTAACTTACCATCAGCGAACGCCCCAATTACTAAACCTAACAGGATGAGCATATACATTTTTTTTGCCTCGTTCCTTAATCAGAGTACGGAAATGATTAAATCACTGCATTTCTCTTTATATATTAGTAGAGCAACATATGTGTGTAACCACATTATCTTCTTGTTCCTGAAAATTATCTACATGATGAGAAAATCAGCATATTGTGCACAGACAGAACTTAGAATTTAATGATAAAATGTTTTATCATTCAAAATGTAATGTATCGCTTCGAGACCCTAATGAGAAATGAAGAAGAAAAAATTATTTTCATGAAAATAGTGACTTTTACAATAGCAAAAATGTAATGCCTAATATTGTCTCTTATTTTTATTGCCTTATACTTTAGTCTACTGCCATTTTACCCTTTTTTAATGATGATCCGCTTCTCAAAAAGAAAAATAGTCTACTAATGAATTTCGTTTTTTTTACATCTCTAGACAAGTGAAAGAATAACTCCTTTTTTTTAATTTAATTATTTTTGTAATTTTGTTTTTTTTTTTATTAAATATTTAAAAAATGCTGCGTATTATGCGAAATACATTTTTCATTTAAATACAAAAAAAAAATACGAAGATAAAATAACACAAAATATACAAAACCAAAGGTTTGCGGAAAAATAATCAATACTGTGCTACATTAACGTGTAATAATATGAATCATTCATCGTAACAGTTCC